CCCCTCCTTCTTCACTGACCTTGGTGTCTGCAGAGTTGTTTCTCTCGCATATTCTCACTCCTCTCTCCAGCTGCAATTGCACAGTTTTGGGTTTTTTTTCCCCCCCTTCTTAAATATGTTATCCCAGAGGCGCTACCACCGTCACTGATGGGCTCGGCCTTGGCCAGCAGCGGGTCTGTCCTGGAGCCGGCTGGCACTGGCTCTATTGGACATGGGGGAAGGTTCTGGCAGCTTCTCACAGAAGCCACCCCTGTAGCCCCCCTGCTTCCAAAACCTGGCCACGCAAACCCAATCACTCTCTGTGTATGCCTGTGTTGCTTGGAATATTTTGTCTATAGTGTAATATTGCTGTTGGGGGAATTTAGCTAATTCTTTGTCACCTTTTAATTAGAAAAATAATACTATAAATACTGTATTAAATTTATTTCTCTCATCTTAAGCATATAAGGCAGAAAACCCCTCAAACGCTAAATTCCAACAGCAACAGAATTGATACGCCCTTTGAAATATAGCTGCTTTGCCTTGCAAACATTTGTGCAAAAGAATAACTTTACTTTTTATAGCTCGTCTTGACGGTCATAGTGAAACTACCAGCATGTAATTATTGTACCCAAGATGTTGAAATTGTTGTAAATCAGACTTATAATTGGAAATACACCATGCAGACTACTTGGAACATGTTTATTTGTTGAGGCGCTTATGTTATTTAAAGTCAAAGTCAAGCCTCTACATAAACATAGTTATGTTTATGTTTGATTATAGTTACAGACAAAAATTTTTTTTTTTGGCCAAGTAAAGCCAACATAATTCAAAAACAGGGTAACAATTTTTTTTTTAAATCTAACATAATTGAAATTAGTATAAAATCTTTCATGTTAGTTTTCTTTAATTGCTACTTTGATCATCATAAATGTTTTGTTGATATTGTTACTGAATTTAAAAACAATGATTTTTTACCCCTTTTTGTCCATAGCATTTATAATTATATTGTGTTTTGAAAAGGAATTAATTTAAAACTTTTATCTAATAGTTACTGTGTTGCTTCACCTGTTTATGTAGCTTACAAATAATATTAAAAAGGTACTGGACAAGTATAAAGAATGAAAGAATTCTCTGTATCACGCAGCGGCGAATACTGGAAAACCTGACTGGAAAGATCAGAGTCAGGTTAAAGATATTCTATTTCTAGGAGAAGTCATTGCATTTTTTTCAGGAAAAGAAAACTGTTCAGATAAGGGGTCAGATCTGCTAGTTTCTATTAGAACTGAGTAAATTCTTTAAAAGCACAGCTGATCATCTTTGCTTGAATTTCAGAGTTACTCACAAGATGGTTTTGGAATCTATTAGTAAAGAAAAGCCTCTGCTTTGAAGCCTAGATGTTTCCTAGATAATGAGAACAAATGATTGCAAGATGTCAATGCCTCTTCAAGGAGAATAGACTGTAAGATTAAATTCTAACCTTGTCTCTTCACTTCTGAGAAGTGGCAAAAGTGATAGGCTTATAAAGTCTCTTAAATCGTAGCTTAGAGGTTGAGACCACGAGGAGTCCATGGTGAGAAATGCTGGCTTTGCCTCAGTTCTTTCCCAGCAGGAAAAGAGGATCGGACCATATGGCTTGTATTTCTCCTTCTGCACTGGCAGAGACATGAGGCCAGTTAACACCTGCAGCTTACCTCACAGGACTCTTTTATGAGCAGGACTCTTCAAGCTTGAAGCAAAATTTGCCTTCTACCCACCTCCAGCACTGGTAATCCATTTCCAGAGGGAAAAGTTCCGGCTTTCTTCCCACATGCACAAGTGGGTAATATGTTAATTTGGGAAAGAAGAACATGCATTTTGCCTCCCCACTCCCAAGAGGAAAGTCCATGCTTTTTCCAGTATGTAAATTGCCCTAGTTATGTCTCAAAGGAAGAAGAGCTCAGAGTAATTGCTCCCTCCACCTCCTTGTCCCAAAAAGATGTCCTAATTGAACAAAGCATTAGTTCCCTTCTTAGAGCATAAAACAATTGTAAAAAGTGAGAAAACAGAATAATAAATTAAACATGTGAGGGTAGCAAAGTATTTGCTGACCAATATTTGGCATGTGGAAAATACTTTTTTAATAGGAAATGATACTAATAGTAACTGAGATGAAAAAAAAATTCCAAATCTTGGATTCTTTTAATTATTATTTGTCTTTTTAAAGAGCTAAATTTGAATATGTTTATTATCTGATCTAGGGGAAGAAGTTCTTTAATATGCTGCTGTAGTGCCATGTTAGCCTCCCAACCTATCGCTCAAGGATCACATTTGCAGGCAAAATGGATAGCACTTATTTTTGTCATCTGCCTATAGATAGTTCTTTTGGCTTATCTTGCACTGTAAATTGTCCTTGTTACAACAGTCATCCCTTTTAGCCTGACTTACACTCCTAAATTTACCTTCATCCCACACAAATCTGGCATTCACACTTCTTTTTATTCAAAATTTTTTACATCAGGAATGTAGAATTCTGAAGTTGAGAGGATTTTTTCTTTTTTTTTTTTTTTAAAAAAAAAGATTCATAAGCAAAAGAAATTAAGCCTTCATCATCTTGGTCTTTTCTCCCCATTATTTTTTATAAGTCCCATGTTTCAACTTTGACAGGATAGGAAATATGTGGGACATGTGATATACGTATGGTTGTAAAAGAAAGCATGTATAAATCCAGAGAAACGGGTAGGAGTAGAATGTAAAATACATGGTATGTCAATATTACAGCTTCTCTTAATAAAATTATTTGAGTTAAGTGGAGATACATGGTAATGGAGGTATTTTTTTCTTCATTGCGGTTTCACAATGATTTCATAGTAGCCTGAGTGTCAGTATTTTGATTTTGTGTTGGATTTTAAAAAATCTTCATGTGCAAGCAGTTCTAAACCTGGACTCAAGATCACCTATGGGTTTTCAAGGAAAAAGCCCTATGGCAAATGCAGCAGTAAACTGTGTGTGCTTTTGTGTATACCGACAGACATCAATCAAAAGTGTTTTTAGGTTCCTGCTCACAGATAAAAGAACGACTGCAATCTCTTTGCAGTAGGTACATTTTTTTTCTTATTGTCTGGCAAGAAATCTTTATTTTTAGGAGTGAAATAAAAAAAAAAAAAGGAGCAAATATATGCAGATGCATTTGTGAGCCAAATTTACTGAGGGAGGCAAATTAAAATCCCAGTCAATGGGTTCTTCTCATTCCTTTTTTTCAAAGCTTTCTTTTTTTTTTTTCTTTTTCCCAAGTAACTAGCGATAGGACAAGAGGAAATGGCCTCAAGTTGCGCCAGGGGAGGTTTAGACTGGACATCAGGAAAAACTTCTTGACTGAAAGAGTGGTCAGGCCTTGGAACAGGCTGCCCGGGGAAGTGGTAGAGTCACCATCCCTGGAGGTATTTAAAAGTCGTGTAGATGAGGCGCTTAGGGACATGGTTTAGTGGGCATGGTGGTGTTGGGTTAACGGTTGGACCTGATGATCTTAGAGGTCTTTTCCAACCTTAATGATTCTATGATTCTATGATTCTTCACTTCATTTTTTCCCAAACTGTAGTTTGTGGGGAAATATTAAAAAGGAAAATTCACTTTGTTTTCAGTTAAAAGTTTTTTCATAAGTAATATGGTAATCTGAGAGAAAACAATCTGATTTTGTTTCAAAAAGTTTTAAGATTGTTTCTATAAGGCAGAATATGGAGAGTATACCCACCAGCTGTGCTCCCTCTCACTTGTGTGTGATTTGGTTAGTGTGTGCGAATGGCCTCCAAAAGATCCAGCTCAAACCAAAGGATAATCAGTTTTTGCAATATTACCAGCTGGAAAGGGACAAGGACAATATACCTTTCTTTCATAATTCTCTCCCTTGTATTAGCTTCTCTTTTGTTTTCATTAACCTACTGTCAGTCAACCATTTCAGAAACAAGAAGCTGGGAATCATCCAGGGTGTCAGCCTTTGAGTGTGGACTTGTAAAAAAAGTTTCGCATGCCAGCAGTGGAATTTTTGAAATGGTGTAAATGCTGTGTGATAATGCTCTGTGATAATACACTTGAGCACTAGTCACCCATTTAAAAAGTATGGAATCGTCAAATATTTAGTAATGAGTCATTTGCTCTTGTGGTGAGGTTCCTATCAGGTTACAGCACGTATTTGTACAACACTATGTATTTGTTGGTCTTGATTTCCATACATTCAGATTAGATTGTTGAGGGCTTATTCTGGTGTGGAAGCCCTGGCAGTCTTGGTTATACTTATCAACTGTATTAGTAATGGAGGAGACCCACTAGAACCTAATTTTCATTAGTTCATATTAGAAGAATGGTAAGATATGCTGCTTTCTTGCCCTGTTTCGCAAAGCAAGGATCTCTGCATTGTGCAAACTAAAGCATGGAAGGAGTCACAATCTGAGAAGGCATGGGCTTAGTGGAGTAAAAGAAAGTGTAGAAGTAGTAATGCACTATTTCTTTAGACTGCCAACTGCAATGCAAATCTAGTAGGTTCTGCAAAATTGAAAGTTTTGCTGGAAATTTTGTGATTCCTTTAGTATTCTGTGGGCAACCACATTGTGCACTCTTGATTTATATAATGCTGACCTTCAATTTGTCTTCGTTTCTTAGATGGAGGTTAACTGTAAGAAACAGACAGGAAGAGTTACAGTCAATTGGCTTTGTGGGCAGGAGATGCACACAAAAACTGCAAGACTATTCTGGACAGTTACGTGAGAAACCAGATTTCCCATGTTCTGTGAAGATACCATGGAAAAGTCAACCACTTCTAGAATTACAAAGTATTTTGCTTGTGTTGACCAAACTATTCCAATGCATACTAAATTCTCTCTAGGGTGTTCCAGTTCTACCTGTCTTCATGCTCTGAATTGCTGCCTTACCTGTATGCTCCCTTAAACAGACAGGCAAACACCAGCTTCTGAAAAGGGAAATGAAGGATTTCTAAAATATCACTGAGGAGAAGAAGGAAAAGTACAATTAAAGGGTTAACCTCAGTGTTATGTACAGGTAACATGGAGAAGAAAAGGAACATGTAGATGATTGGTTTTATTGCTTCCCTCAAAATGATTATTTTTGTCTCAGAAATCTGATTCCAGATTGAAGTGATGAACAAATTGCCTTACATTAGACAACAGCACTGTAACAGTATGCTGTGGGTTAAGGCAAATGAATTTCATTAATCAAGCTACGTGTGCTCAGGTTCAGAAGTGCATGTCTTCTGACATCTGTTTATATCTTCTCCTACAATTTTCATTGTGCTTCCTTATTTTTCCCTTATCACACCTTGTTTTAACATAGCTAACAATTTTTTTGTGTCTATTATCCCTAACATCTTGTTCTGATTGTGAAGAGGCATCCGTGCCCTGTGCCAAACACGTGCCAAGTGACTGCTGCTATCTAATGTAGTCACAAGGTGTAGAAACAGCTCAGTGCTTGGCAGGAGCAAAAAAGTATGCTGGAGGAATTTGCTTCCCAGCTTGAAGAAATTCTCTATGACTGTTTTGATCTTGCATGAGGCTTGTGAAATACTGAAGTCATGTCAGGTTCTGAAGTGATTATAATTTGCTCCTGACTTTTGATATTTTTGATTTTCGGGACAGCATCCTCCATGCAAAAGACAGCTGAACAATTCCATGTTTCAGTGGATACACTCCAAACGTACCATTTTCTCACTCTCTTCCTTCTTGCTGGAATCTGCAATGGATAGATTTACTGCAGATTTCAAACCTGTCAACACCCAAATGTGTGACACCAGCTCTCAATACATGTGAAAGAGCTAAGCTGAGGGACATGATAATATGTAGCAGGGGAAGAAGACAGAAGTTCTGCAGAATATATTTTGTGCAGTGCAGAAAAGTTTTCTATAAACTCCATTTTGAAGTTGAGCAATTCTGTTATCAGCCTGCAGTTATCAGGGAGTTAGAAAATAGTAGGGCAGGAGTTTGGACTTCATGACTCTCCCTTCTACTAGAATGTTAGAGGAATCTGTCTATGTTTATACTGTGGAGAGTTTTATGAGCTGCTTAAATCACAAAACTGAAAGTTATTAAAAGTACATGTAACTCCCAACTTCAAGCTAAGGAAGTCTGTGTTTTGAAAATTCCCACTGTTGTTACAGAGCAACCTCGCCCAGCAGCCTGCCTGAATCCGGATAGCTGCAACTGAACCGGGAAGCGCAGCGGTGCCCACGCTCGGGCTGTCCTTTGCAGCTGGCCAGTTAGGTACGCACCTGCCGGCAGTCATGAGGCAGCTCTGCTCCGCTGCTCGAGCCCCGCTCTTGTGCACCCTCGCTGTGCTGTTCAAAATGTCTCTGTCAGTGGACCACGTACCGATGCTGCTTTGGTCAACTCAGAGGTAAGAAATCTCATAAAAGAGGATCTCTACTTATGCTGTTGCTCTCCCTGTGTGTGCAGAATATATTGTATATCATCCGTTGTGGTAAATAACCTCTGGGCAATAAAATTACCCAAGAAACGAATTTGCCTCTCGGCAATCGAACAACCTAACAGATTAATTTACCCATTTTTATTTATAATTTTAGTGTTCTAAGCTGGGCAGTAAGAAGTAAATAAACCTCATATTCTTCAAATCTGCAGTAGACACGCTTTATTCACCCTAAGGCAACCTTGAACTCCACTGTTAGAGACGTCGTGACTTAAAAGCACAACATAAGGCAGTCTCACAAAAAGGAGCTGACCAAAAACTGTGTGGGCAACCTTAATCCTTGCATTTCCTAACTCCTGAATTCTGATTTTTCACTTTAATGTTCTTTTTAATGCAGGTTTTTTCATAGAATACACTGTTGTATGTATAGACATCAGTTGTTAGAAACAACTGCAGAGTCTTGACAGATCCAAAGAAACAATGTGAAATTCAGGGGTTTGGATATACTTATGAAATAAGACTCTTTGAAAGAGCTAGATATAGACCTCTTTTTTCCACCCAGGAATTTTACTCATGCGGACTTTAAGGATTTTATATAATTACTTGGGTTTTCCAGAAATACAGCCACTTGGGCAACGCAGTAGCTTCAGGCAGAGTACCGGATATGTAAAGTTGTCGGAGGACTATGCACTGCTTATTCACAAGGCTGTCTCTGCAGGGCATACACGTTGGTTTTGTCTAGGAAGTACTGCCCCAAAATACAGTAAGCCGAAGTCAGAGATTACAGGATCACAGGACTGATTGGAAGGGCTAAAGGCAAAGTCCTGTTCTGGGTGGGAAGGCGACAACAGATCTGCTGTACTCTAGGTTTGCCTAAGGTGTGCTTTAGCCTGAGTAAATCACCTGAATATCTCCTCCTAATTCCTGAATCCTCCACATTCTTAACCTGGTTTATCTAAATTGTAAACCCTCTTGTGGAGAGTTCATCTCATACCCTCTGCAAGCACATATGTATTATATCTAGTTCAACAGGCCTGATCTCAGCTGGGTATTTATTCATTTCTCTAATACAAATAATCCATAACACCAGTAGGATTTGGAATTTGTCACAATCCGATTGGGTGGCTTCATAAGCATAAAATGCTTTCCTGTACTGCAAATAGCCTTGGTGCACAGGTTAACCCTCACTTTTGCTGTAAGGATGAACAGAAGGGGCTGCAGCGACAGGGATTCCTGTTGCTGGCATGACCGAGCTGTGTGTGCCTGGGCAGGGGGAGTTCTGCTTCTGAACTCCTTTGGTCATCAACTCTTGTCAGGTCTGAATTCATGGGATTTGATCATTTTGTATCTTTATTGCTTTGTTAATTCCCAGAGTGTTACTTGTGATTTACTCTTCTGTAAACTGGGAAAGGAACAAAACCAACGGCTTCTTGGGAGGTCATTATCCTTTCAGCTGGTTGCGCTGGATTCACTCTACCTTTCATGAGGCTTTGAGCCATTCTTCAACACATTTGAGACACTGTGAATTATCTAGCTGTCACTAGGAAGACAATTAGACTAAATTCTGCTCTCATTTATCCTAGTGTAAATCTTTTGTCTTTAGGCAAGTTTATTAAGATCTAAGTCTGAGAGCTGAATCTTGTTAGTATTTTTTTTCTTTTTTTTTCTTTCTTCAGTTGCTCTTTAATGTGGTAATTTTAAGACAGCAATAGGAGGATTCAGAAATTTTTTGAACATCAGGAATTAGATTGATTCAGTTTTTCAGGAGATCGTTCTCCATGTATAGTGCCATATAGACAAGTGTGCTACTTTTCTGGTTTTTCATACGTGATGTTGTAATGTTGAGGGCCATGGAAAACAGAGGTATGGGAGGTATTGATTGTGTTTCTTTCATATGTATCATGGACATTATGTCCTTTTCCCAGCAGTAATTAATACCAGCTTTGACATATGTCATCTCTTAAGCATTTCCAGAAACGGAACCTCTGGACCCTGTGGAGCCACAACGTATAGGAATCTGCAAAGTTTCGTAAAGTTTGATTAGGTAATTTTGACTTTTTTTTTTACTCTGAGAGAAATAAACGGATGTCTCAACATCAAGGCTTTTTTATATTCAAAATGCTTAACCTGTTCACCTTTATACAATACAGGCATATGTATGAGTATGAAACCTCTGTATTTAAAAGCAAAGTAAATGTTGGAAAGAGTTGTTCTTAAGATAAAAGTGATCCTAAGAGTCTAAGCAAAGATCAGTGCTTCCTTTGTCCTACTTCCTAGTTTATATAAACAACACACCTGTTGTCAGTATAAACCAAATCTTATCAGTTAATCCAGGGTGATCATAACAGCAAACTTTCCACCAAGATACAGTTAGCGACTTGCTCTACTGCAGATTGTTCAGGTTTATGCAAATCTAGAACAAGAAAATCAGGATAGTGGACTGATTAAACCAGTTTCAGGTTTCCAGGAATAGAACACACATAGAAGTGTTCCTCCTACCATGACCTTTGCATTTTTGAAAGGTGAAGTTCTTGTGGGGCAGAAGTTAGTTCTGGTGAAAGTCAATGAAGCAACAGGAGAGGAGATTTGTGTTATTTTATAAAATAAAGAACAGTAACAGCAACTTTTGTTTGCTAACCCTTTACTCCATGCTTCACATCTTGGTACTTTGCAGTGATGCAAGGTTTGTAGAGTGTGATCTACAGGCTTATGAAATCTGGAAACTACTATTAAGAGTTTTAGGAAGGGTAACTAAAGAAGTGCAGCAATTATCAATGGATTTCTATTCACTTTGTGGAAACATGTCCCACCAGTTTAAAACTTCAATGATTCATTGATCAACAGAAGCTGAGATTCACCAATCTATTCCATCACCTCTCCCAGGTTATCTGTTAGGATATGATATCGAATAGTTGAAGGATAATACATTTTCCTCTTCTTTAGAACTAGCCAGTGTTTGTAAAGCTGTATCTCAGAACAGCTATATTAGAAGAATGTAACTCTTTGAATTCTCTCTTTTATGCATTATTATTGTACTGTAATCATGCTATTAAAGATAATGTTAGATGTCAGATACAGATGAAACCTGCAACTGACAAACACATGCCGTGTGCAAAGCATAAAGGAATTGTGATATAAATCCTTACAGGGACATTAGTAAATCAAATACCTCTTTCCTCTAGAAAGAAAAATGCAGATCTGTACTTTGAGAAAAATAAGTATTTTCTACCAAAAAACAGTCTTTCTCCATCGAACTCAGGAAAAAAGAGAAGTGGGAATAACTCAGTAGGTCACAGTGTCCTGCTTTTCATAAACTAATACTAATATATCAGTGGACATTCTCCAAATAACTTTGGCCTGGAAAAATTAACCTTTATCTTAAATTAGCCTTTAAACTAATATCTCCTGGTTGCTTTTCAAAGCAGTAGAGATGGAGAGGTTCCTCTTGCGTATGATTCACAGAAGAAAGTTGATTTAGCCATTTTGAACCAATATTCAAAAGAATTTCTTTCCCTCCATAGATTAGAGAGGGAGCCTGAGGAAGTAAATTCATTAAAATTAGCTTTTGTGATTGCCCCCTCATGTGTTTGTTTTAGGAATGATTTTTCCTGATTTTGTAGTCATTGAAAATATATTATTGCCTTCATTTATGCCACGCTTACATTGGGAAATGAATCCTTTTCTGGAAAATCCAGATTATAAGTGACTTTGAGAAGGCATTAATGCCAAATAGTACATTTGCATTATTTCTTAAAACTGCAAGGAATTTGCTGAAAAATCTACTGAAAGAAGGTGGAACATAAAAAAGATACAGTGGAAAGAGAAAATTGTTTTAGCTGTAACTTTATTGGACTTCTATGGAGATGTTGTGTGCTAGCATGCTTGAGTAGCTTTTTGAATTTTTTTTCCTATAATCATGAGTTTTCATTCTACTGCTGCTACTAGTAATGGTGACATGTGAGCTTTGTGTGTAGAAGTGGTATTTGAAGGTCATTTCCAATTTTTTTTTAATTAGCTTGTTTACTTCTGCTGTGCAGGAGAAAATATTATTTCTTAAATGGTAATCACAAGGTGACTGAAAGAGAAAACCGACAAGAATAACTTGTAGGAAAGAGTTCAGAAGCCACCTACAAAGCAAGCATGTAAGCTCACAAGTTAGAGTGATAGAAGTCCTGTTATCTTACGGTCTGCCCTTCTGGCAGGTCCAGATACAAGAAATCTTGAAATCTTTGCTTCCATCAAAAATAAGTGCTCAAATCCCAGTTTTACCTAGAAAGAGCACTGATCGGAGAGGAATCTGTATGTTTAAACTTGTTGTCATGCCAAGAGCAGTTAGGGACAAGAAAGAAGCAAAACACCAGGTGAAGCTTTCTTTCCTCTCTTTCTTTAGAGCATTGTCTGGCTATTGGAGGAAAGAGAGAGCCGTTGAGTTTTAAGTTTCCTCCTTTTTAGCCAGCAGGAAAGCACATACATTAGCAGAGATGCTCATCATTATGAGCCCCAAGGCTGAGGACCCCAGGATGGTTCTACAGTAGGGAGGTTAAGTCTGATGTGCTTGGCATGCAGATGACTGCACAAGGCTGTGCATCTTTGGACATAAAATTTTGTGTGAGCAATCAACAGTAGCAATCAATATGTGTGTTGGCCTACTGCCTGTTTCATCCCATGCCACCCCTTACTGATCTCTTGCTGCCTGCTTGAGGTGAAGAGTTCAAAGGAATGGACTGGCTCACTGCGTTCAGTAAAGCATACCTTCAGCTCATCCACGATGCACTATCTGTGGCAGTCACGTGTCTCCATTTCGTTCTGCAGTTCACGGTAAACCAGCTAGCAAAACATACTGACATGTTCCGCCTGAACCGTGGTGAGAATGTTGTTTCACCTAGCTGACAGTAGCAGCCCATTCACTGAAGGGTGTAGCCTTGCCTACTGCCATGCATAGTGTTCAGCAAACTATTTAAAGGAAGCAAAATAAATGTGTGTATAATACGGTGAATATAATATTAGGCAAACGCCACATTATAATGGAATTATTAACTAACTGATGTAGATTTCTTTTTCTAATGATGACGCCAAAGTTACTGAAGTTGACTGCGTGGAAGCTAAAAAGTCCCACAAAAGGTGCTTTTCAAGGTTAGATAGCTAGCAAGAGCTGCTTCAAGGAACAGGGATACCTTAGAAGCAAGCTTTAAAACAGGATCATTAAATTTCTGAGGTTTTGAGTTCATGACAAAAGCCTTTGCCACTGTGCTGCTGCAAATAACTTTGTTTTGTTTCATGTGCTTTCTGTTACCTTTTATTCTTAATTGCAAGTCCCAAAAGCTCTCAAAATCTTCAATTTTTTCTAATATTAGGCATGAAATGGATTTAGTTAGTTAGTTTTTTAAACAAATATACCAAGATATTCACTATCATTTTCTTTCACACAAGCCATTTTTTAACATCTCTTAATTTAATCTATCTTCTTTTCCTTTAATATCATTAGTATTTTGATGTGGCCATGCAATGCATAAAGTCAGTATGAAAGTCAGTTCCTGAATAGTCATTCAGAATCTTTGGGAGTTTTTGTGTTTTCAAATATCTTATTTTTAAAGATTATACTTAAATATTTGAGATCATGAGGTTTGACTTTTCTGAAAAGTTGAGGCATGTCTGTTACAATTTCTAAGTTGTTTGGCTTCATAAATATAAATTAATACGGATTTCCAAGCACAAATTAACAAAGAAGTGAAGATGCTGAGCGAAACTAAGAAAATATCAAATGATAATTTCTACCACATAGAAAAAATTTCTTTCTGGCACAGCAGGGTTTACTTCTAAAGCTTGAAAAGTGACAGACAGAATATCTACTAGAATTTAATTTTAACATCTGCAGCACGTTGTTCTGGAAGAGTCTTCCACATGTACTGTTTGCTCTAACACTCTCCCAAACCCCAAACTCTGAAGGGAGCTAGGTATCTAGTACTGCAGGACTGCACTGTTTTTATCTCTGCTGTAGGTGCAGTTGGATGCTTTCAATTCACTCTCAGCAATCTTCATTGGAATTACTGGGAAGTCTTGAAGTGAAATATAGATTTTCCTTACCTGAGAAACGACATTGAAACCCCGCTATGCGTTCATTACCCCCGTTCTGCCTCCATCTTAAGAGACTGCAAAGATATTGTTTTCATTCATAAACGCTTGCTGTGCAAGGGTCATTTTTGAATTGCTTTGGGGTTAGAAAATTTAATAAGCATCTCAACTTCACCAAATTGCAATCATATAATAGCTGACGCTACAGCACACATCAATTCTCTATATTCTATTCTTTGTAATTAGAACCATTTAGAGGGTCTGGAATACCTGATTTCTCAGACCTTAGCAACTGATGTGTGTTTGGGAAAGATAAGAGATTAAGCTTCAAGCTCTGGGTTTTCTACAGAATGACAATATTACCTTAGTCAAGACACCTAGGACAAAAATTTTCATAATAAATTTCATCCCTATAGACCCATGTTGCATACTGTTAAAATCCCAATCAGGTGTTGAAAGAATAATGCCACTTCTTGTTTTGCCCATAACTGTTTTTTGTGGTAGTAAAACTAAATAGATGAGTTATTCCTCTGTCCAATCCTCGTAACGACAGGTTGGCAAAAGAATTGTAAGCTTTCCTTGGTGTCTTGAGCCGTTCTGTTCAGAAAAGCTTCTGCTTCTGGGAAGGTGGCTTTTCTGAGCTGCTTCTGCAGGGTGGTTCCTTCATCATGAAAACCTTAAGAGAGAACATATTGTTTACAATAACACTGAAAAGCCACTTTTACTTAAAATATTTCTGAAAAAATATTGGATTATGACAACTTGTGGTCTTGCCTAAGTTCTCCTCTCTGGCATTGGAAAGTGTTTTGGGAGTTGGGATTCCCTTTGGGAATTCTCTCTGAAGGTTTTCAACATATTCTGCTTCATTCCACTGTCCTGGTTTTGGCGGGGATAGGGTTAAATTTCTTCCTAGTGCTGTGTTTTGGATTTAGTATGAGGACAATGTTAATAATACACTGATGTTTTCAGTTGTTGCTAAGTACCCTGCTAGTCCAAGGACAGCTCCCATGCCTACTGACTGAGCTAGGTACACAAGATGGGAGGGAACATAATCAGGACAGCCAGCCTAGCTGGCCAATGGAGTAGTCCATACCATGTGACGTCATGCTCAGTATATGAATGGTAGGCATGAGCCAGGAAGTACCGATCGCTACTTGGTTATCGGTCAGTGCGGGTGGTGAGCAATTGCATTGTGCATCACTCATTTTGTATATTCTATCATTGTTATTGTTATTTTGCCTTTTCTGTTCTATTAAACTGTCTTTATCTCAACCCACGAGTTTTTCTCCCTCTCACCCTTCCGATTCTCTCCCCGCCCCACCGGCGGGGGGGAGTGAGCGAGCGGCTGCGTGGGATTTGGGGCGGCTTCGTGATAATTGGCTGCCTGCCAGGTTAAACCACGACATCCGCTTAGTAGATAACTTTTTGAAAGACACAACTGTGCTGTTGTACACAAACAAGAAAGTAGAGAGAGA